CTGATGGGCCCGGGTGTTTGCACAGTCCTCACATAGCCAGAGGTTACACTTTGGAATTACTGCTCAACCCAACTGTTTCCCTCTGCCTGTCACAGAGGGAAAGTGCTATAAGAGTCAGGAAGAAGTTTCCACTCTCAGGTGGTTGAGAGTGAATAGGTCATCTCATTCTCATTCTCACACATGTGTAATTCATGCTTAATAATGAATGACGTGCTCCATTCTTCTCTGAAGTGGGAGCTGTGCTGTACATACTGCACTATGCTGTTATGGAGCAGCTCCGGTGTGTCCTGCTCCACGCCGAGCGAGATATACTGCATATAAACCGACTTCACATAGGGGTTGTTGAAAATTTATTAGCTGGAACAAGCAGCCACTGTTTTGTCTGTCATCTGTGATATAAACAGAGAAAACAGCTCACAGGCGAAAAGCAAAAAAAAAAAACACATATTAGCCACTAAGCCAAGGAAAATCACCACAAACATTATCCATCTGCTAAAACGCATTGCAGGTTGATCCATCCAGAAAGGGCCTACAGATAGGTCAGAGGCCTGAGAGTAAATCCTCAAATTTGTGCTGTGCTAAATGGAGCATTATGCAATGTTTGGCGTCTCTAACTGAGGGCTTTAACTGAACATCTTGTCCCGTTGCTAATCCTGCCAACAGCAAGCAGCCAGGGAGAGAAACAAACTCTGACCCTCAATACATGCACAGGCTAATGGAGATATGGGAATAGGCAAACATGCAGCCACAGGGACACATACTCAAAAAACATACTGTATGGACAGTAAAAGCGTGTTCAGTTCCACTCGGAAACATGCAAACATTCCAAAGGACTTTGCAGGCCCCAGGTAAAAGTGATTTGGGCGGGCCTATCGACTCAAAGTAGCCCCTGTGCATAAAGAAACACATGATTCACGATAGTCTTCAGTCAGATCTCTAAAATGTTTTGACAGTGGTGTTGTTGCAGTCTCCTGTATAGCCCATAAGATAATTTATAGTTTCTCATGAAAAACAGGGGTAATTGTAAGGTTTGCCTATTGCAATTCCCCTGTATGTGCATCACACGCAAACATTGTAATTTAGCTCTATATCTTTAGAGCAGCCCACAGATTTGTATAAAAAAATGATGATCATAAAAGTTCAAGCTCATGAAATAGCCTGATTTCTATACGCTACAGTAAGAAACAACATTCTCTGCACATTTTCACTCATTTACATTTTTTCTGCTTTAAATTCAATCAAGTGCCAGAAAGTAAATTACACATTTCTTAAATACATATACGGCATAATTTCTATTCATCAGAGAAAATCCTCATGTTGCAACCAGCAGGGGATACTGGCGTGTTAATGGATAATAAATCTATATTTAAGGATATAGGAGAGCGGAAATCCAATTTATGTCAGGGCTCTCCACCCGATCCCCACTTTTATCCCCATACGCGGCTGGCTGGAGGAGTAATCGGCTTTGTGTAATAAAATGATGATGATGACTTTATCTGACATTTGTAAAGGGAGGAGCCTCAGATTTCTGTAGGTCTGTATTATCAGCCTCGATCCAGTGAATTAATCCTCACACAGAGTGAGAGAGAGTGAAAATGTTGTTCTTGGGAGTAAACACAGGGGTTATATTGAGGTGAACAGAAGGAATGTGTTTTTTCGAGGGTTGTGTGTTTGATGCGCGTGCGTCATTTTTCCTTTGCGTGTGTATGCGTGTGCCTGCTTACATGCTCTCGCCACGTTCTCAGAGATCCCTGCCCTCGCCCTCCTCACCTGCCGAGTGGAGGAGGAGGATTACATACGAACAGGCAAACTTTATCTCCATGGAGATCCATTAAGCATCATGGATACAAGGAACACGCTCAGAATGCCTCTCCATTACACGCAGCAGCCTGCAAGACAGAGAGGAGAACAGAGACAGACAGCCGAGCAGAAACAATGAGATGTAACCAGCTAACTGTGAGAATTGTCCCATAAAAGCTGCGTTTTCAGACAAATCTTGGCTGATTCAGCCTAATGATCTGAGGCACACACACATCACAGTCCTCCAACGCATCGGCTTCAAAACACGTCAAACGCATGACGTGCCTTCTCTTTTGCTCCAGATCTGCCGTTTTCTATACTGGGATTGCACGGTGTAGGGTTTCTCTAGTGCTTTCACAAGGGCCAGCAATTAATGTGGCTCTCAGTTAAGTGGGCCCTCAGGGGTTAAGGTCTGTCATGTCAGATGGATCTGTTTGTGCGGAGGAACGGTAGGATCCCACACTCCAGTTGTGGAGGGGAAAGAGACGCCCCAGAGCCCATCTCAGTATTCCCTTCACAAGCTTATATGGCTTGGAGGAATTTGATCTTAGAACCTCCACGTCTCATGTAAGGAGATCTCAGAACTTCTCTTTTCCCCGCTGGGCTTAAACTCCTAGCCAGCTGCGAGATGGAATTGCATATTCGTATTCTCTTTAGGAGCTGTACTGAGTGGCATGTTCTCTGTAGGACCAGGGAATTAATTTAGCACACACAGAGCAATGGCTGTAAATGATTTCCCATGGATGTAGTACACATGTTTATATACTGTACATCTGAGCTGTGTTTAATATTAAAAGAATTTCTGAGGTAATACCTAAAATCATATGACACCCTGACAGGATGAATCCTGGCTGCTTTCATTACTGTTTTCACAGAGACAGTGTGTGCCGCCTCTTGTAAATGAAATGGAGTGTAATGTAACAGCTACAGAAAACAGCTACATTATCATCTAAGACCAGACTAATTGATGAGTGCTCGGCTGCAGGATTTCTGAAATTAGTTGTTTGTGAGCCCCCCTGTATGACATGCCAATCTTCCTGCTCTCAGTAAGCGCCAGCACCAGCCATCTGAATAAAAAGCCTGTCACACAGCTAGACGGAGACACTAGTGAAATATCAAGGGGCAGACGCCCACGTGTTTTCTGTAGGATTTGGAGAGGATAGTGCAGCCATCATGCAAATGAAAAGGGGAAAAAAAACAATTGCTTCCACCTGCTGTACTGTGTATACTGTAAATCTTCTGAACTAGATTCTGCACCTGGTCTCTCCATATTCCTTCACAGAATAAGTAACCTACCAGTGACTTGGATAATAATGGATTTAGAAAGATAAATATAGAGCACCAAAAGTATGCTTTTCTCCTTCTATTCATCAGCAGGTATGATAAGATTTAAACATAGACCAAATGAGTGTGTGTAATTTCAACCGAGTCAGTTGCATTGCAGAACCTACTGATGTTTTATATCCACCACTCCTGTTTCCTGCCTGGTGTGTAGAGACTTTTAGGGCCCTGTCTTGCATGTGGTGTAAATCTGCACCAAATACAAATATCTTTGCACTGTTCAGGCTGACGCACATGCAAACTTCCCTTCCAGTGGCCCATGCACTTTGGAACCACTTTAACCAATCACTTTAAGGAAATTAATTCACAAATGAAAACAAGAAAATAGACTTTGACCCCCTACACAGACAATAGCCTACACTAGTTGATGGCACCTTAATTGCACAACACCCTATGGGCCCACTGGTGTGTTAGATATAGCAACTATAAGGAGCAGGGCTGGGATTACCATGGCCAGGAACATGGATAGGTTTGTAAAAGGATCTGGATGTGAAACAATACATGTGAAGAACACCCACCACCATCCAGAGATGAGACAGTCAGGGATCAAGAAGGGTACACCATCACAGAGAAACTGGCCCGCCACTCCCTTAAGTCCAGCAGTCAACAGAGAGAAACACACAATTAACCAATGTTACACTGCCTTCGCTCTAGCACTGCACTGTAATGGGCTTAAAATAAATGTGACACAATGCCCGGGGCTTCATTGCCTCTCTCACTGTTCTCACCAGTTTTGCCTCCAACAGAAGTAAGAAAGTGATTTCACCAAAAAAATGAAAATTGTTGAAAGTTGAAAAACGTAGTGGCTAAGGAAACAAATATTAGCACATGACTGAGACCAAACCAGAGACCAAAGAGATTTTTAGCCATGTTGACAAGGAAAATCAATGGATTTATTTGAGGCTACAGTTAGAGATATTTATTATACAAGCTATTGTATGTTCCTCATTGCAAAAAAGATTAACTCGATCTGAGATGAACCATATGCTTTTCAGTTTTTGAACTCGAGCTTGTAGTAGCATCACTCCTCACCTACATTTCTTCTCTTTTAATTCTTATTAGCAAATCAGTGCTGCAGACACGCAGCCACACTGTACTGCATCTGCAGAGGAGGGAGTGCTTCACTTCTTCTTCATCTCTTCTGTCCGGGGGGGGCCTCCTTTGACACATGAGCCCATGCGGGTTTGTACGTCAAGTTTATAGGCACCACGGAACTGAAGACAATTTTCCATACTGTGGAGAAGCTCCTCGCCAACTACTTATTTCAAACGAGGGATATTGGGGTGATAAGAGTGAATCTATTCTGTTTCCTTCTTCCACTCACACATTTAAAAAGATAAGCTGACATGAATATTCATAAAGGTGCACATGTACACACTTTTCCAGCAAAAAGTGAAGCTATTTGATGGAGTGTTTTCTTGACCAACAATGACAACTAAAAAAATACTAATGCTATTGCATTTCTGTGCGTGTGTCCTTGTGCATGGTTGTAGGTGGGTTGGTAAGTGGTTTAGTCATCAAATGAGACACGATAGCCTCTCCGGCATTGTCTTCAGCGTCTCTCTTTCTCCGCTCCCTACTCAGCATTTTATTCATGTAGTTTTCTGTCCATTTACTCTCGCTGCAAGGGCAAATCAAGGCAAGGCTGCTCACTTATTGAATTAACAGCTATCAGGAAGCATTAGGCAGAGGTCCCCCGCCTGGTTTTCCATTCAATAATACAGTGACATTAGGGACAACACACAGACACAGAGGCTATGGCTTATGGTCCGCGTGCTTGGTCAAATCAAGCCACGAAGAAAGTAAAAAAAAAAGTCAGGACTGGGGCTATAATTGGAAATGTACCCCCACCCACACAGGGAGTCGCGGGCTGGGCACACAGAGAGAGCCGGGGGACGCCGCAGAAACGTCGGCAAGCCTGGAGGAAAGGGCACGGATCTGGGCTGAGGGCTGCTGGTGACATCTTATCACAGCCTGGTTCCTTCAGTCTGACTCACAGCCTTCAAGCCTGCCTGAGGATATATGTAGAGGCAAGGCTGTGCTGCGGACACACACAGGCAGACACACAAACACACCATCCTGGTACAGGGCAAGGCCCCTTCTTTGGTAAAGTCTCAATGAGCTGTGTCACCATGGCAACTGCCTCATTAGAAAGTCACTGGTGGTGGCCATTGCCCATTCACATCCCTTCTTTGTTTCTTTTATTCCACTTTTCTGTCTTTTGTGCTTTTCATTCCCCCTCAGTAATTGCAGCTTGATTGTATTTTACTCCAAAGAGGTTTGTTACAAGTAGCGATAAATAATAACCATTGAACTTGTTGAAAAATGAAAAATGAAAGACAAAGGTTAAAACCGTGAAATTGTGTTATCATGCATTCTGTTAATAAAAAACGTTTTTTACCTAACTTGACCTTAAACCTAACATGTTTCTTATTATGAATTATTAAAAACATTGTAGGACACAATGCAATTTAAATCTGATCGGATACATTTTACTTACTAACTTAATAAATCAATTTGTTTGTAAAAGCATATGAAGTCCAATTACCACAAATAATCTGAAAACTGCCCACGAATCTCAAAGAAGTGCAGCATGAGGGTTTTACAAAAGAGTCAGTGGCTTTCCCTTTTTTGTTTTAATATAAACACGTCACTTACTTACAATAACAACAGCAAATACAATAAATGTGTTAAGATTTATTTATTTACCAAGCTTGGAGAAAACAATGTGCTTGAACAACGAATTATTTTCAAAATCTATTCAATTATGTGCAGCTTTGCTCAAAGCTACAGAGCTAACAGTAAACACAGAATGACTTAAATGTGCACCTTACTGAATCAGAAATTGTGCATGGATGTTATATATATACAGAGAGAGCCCTGGCTCTATATATACATATAATTGACCCCCTCTTTGTTAAATGTGGCCCCTTTAAAGCCCCAGATTTGGAAAGTTCCTATATCCACCACTGGAACAAGTGCATGTTTCTATTTTAAAAATGTTCACAAACAAAACATCGACACATTATCGAGCAAGTAATTTCACATCCAGGACAGAATCATCTTGGGATCCCATTTCTGTAATTTTAAAATGAATGAAGAGTACGCAGCATTTTGTGTCTTATGTCGTGATCAACTGAGAAATAAATGTTTTGGTAAAAATGCAACATTTTGTCGAGATTTTCACACCTGGGAAATAGTTTTGAAAAGCTTTTAAACCATCTAATATTTAACATTATACTTGGAATAGGAGAAACAACAGTGACAGAACTGATACGGATGCCATATGGCTTTTTACCCATCTGTACTATATCATCAGAGGCAAGACATTATTCCCTTAATGTACATATACCGTGAATGTAATTTCATAAACCTTGTTTGTCTCCTAAGGCATCGGTGTTTCACTTAGCTCTTGGTCTTTTATCTATTTATGCATCAAATCAAAAGGGACAGTGAACCACATTTAGAGAGTGGAAAGTGTATCCTGAAGAATTTAATAAGAAAAGAGATCTTGATGGATTACAGACCTTCTCCACATCTGAGACATTTTCAGAATGATAAATCACAAAGGTCTTTTATTCTCCTCTTTCTTTTTGTCTTTCCGCGTCTCTCTTTCTCCTTTCCATCTTTCCCTGCCTCCTCTCCTTCTCATCTCGTGAGCCCTGGCTTTCAATTGTAAGAGATTACAGGAGCATAGCCGGACCGTGGCCCGTCGAGGATCTTTTATTAAAATTCATATGCATATGAAACAAGCCAATTCTAAGCTGTCGGTGAGCAGCTGAACCCTGTGGCTCCACTGTGTACTTATATATATGTGTGCAGGAATCAGTGTGTGTGGCAGTTGTGTGAATAGAACGTGTTTGAGTGTGTGTACAGTGGTTTGTGTGTGTGTGTGTGTGCGCGCGCGCCAGTGTTCCATTTTGACTCTAACCGCTTAACCCCTGCGCTGTCCCAGGCCGCCTCAGCCACCGGTTATGTATCAGAGACCGCGAGTGGTGTTTCCCACCAGGATTTGATCGTTAGCAGGACTTCTGGCTCTCTATCTTCAAGGTTAAACAGGACTCTGAGGGCGGGGGGGTTGTGCAGCAGCGACAGCGGTGGGGGCTCTAAATCTGCAAACAAGTGTGGAGCCTGGCAGTCAAGGCTATCGAGGAGCTGATATCCCGCCGGTGGAGGGAGCAGAAGGAGACTAATCCTTCATACATAATAGATAACCAAATCCTCTAAAACACAGAGACGCTTGCTGCCTGCACCACAGAGGCCCTGCCACTGCTAACAGATCAGACATCAGGCATCCCCCTCCTCGCCACCTTCATTAATACTCAATTACAACAGGGCTCCTCCAGCCCCAACACCATTGTCTTCTCCTTGAAAGGCAGACCTTTGTCAAGAGAACAGGTAGGGCTGTGGCCCCCCTGCACACAGAGATAAATCTGTGCAATATCTTTGTCACCGGAGTTAAGAGCAGAAAGAGAGAGAGAGAGAGAAAGAGAGAGAGAGAGAAAGAGGGAGAGAGTGAGAGAGGCCCAACCCAAGAATAACTCGAAAATAACGACACCTCTCGTCGCAGCCGCTTTTTCATTTGTCTGCCATTCCGCTGTGATCAAAACAGGAAGGCAGTGAATAGATCTGAGGGGGACTTGTGGCTGTATCATAAAATGAGAACAAACATCTGCAGCATTTCATTTAGTCCACGTGCACTCTGGACTCCCTGCCACAGACACACAACACATTCATTTCAAGCAAAACTGAAGCCGTGCGCTGCAAGTGGTCTCATTCCTCCACACTGTCAGCCAGTAATATTAAAGCTGACATACGCACAAGAGCATTTTGATCAACTGACAGCACATTTTAGCACGAGTGTCTTTGTGTTGTTCAAGATTAATTTATGTCGACAGCTTTTATCATATTTATTATTCTGTTTAACACATTACTTATTTTATAGGGCTTTTTCTTTTACATTTACCTTTTTATATATATTTTTTTACTTTCTGTTAATATAAATGAGTTAAGCTAAACATTGTTTTCTGATCATTCAATTTTCTGTGTTGAATTCACTAAAACCTCTCTTTCTCTATTTTGTACAAGCGAAATTAAATTACAGTCATTCATTCAAAGTAGTATTCAGTGTTACTAAAGATCTCTTGATCAAAGCTAGAAATCAGAGAAGCCCCAAAAAGCTGCACAATTTCATTAACGCATAAAAGCTGCAGGCACTGACTGAGTGTTTTTTTAATACAGTGCTTTTGTAAAATATATGTGGTCACATTTAATGGGTCAATTTCTTTCTCTTTTCTCTTTTTTAAAGATGTCATTTATGGCATGTGGGACTGTGGCATGTTTTTTATGTTCACATTTAAACCTTGTGATTTAAGCAAGAAAAAAAGTGTTTTCATTTAATACTGAATTTTGTAACTGAAGAAAAAGGTTTAAATATTAGAGTCAAGTTGACATAAGCCAGAGGAGGAGGATTTTTTAATTCTGCAAGGCTGGTAATGTCAAGGTTAAGAATAATGGAGTAGTTTTCATGTTATTGATATGATACAACTTTCAGTTAGGTATTAGAGATTTACCTTTACACTCCATGAATACAACGATTTGAAGGACTACAGGATCTGACTTCATTTACAACATTTCAACTACATTCACAAAACAGTACTTCACCGTTCTTAATCTTTCAACTTTCTTATATTATATATTCTTCTATGTGAAAAACTCATACTAGATCTCTTTATTTTCTTTTGAGTGCACACTCCTTGGAACCATAATAAAAACTGCCTCCTGTCCTGCATGGTTTTTGTCACCATTCCCAAAATTTGTAGTAGGCACGTATTACGCTGAGTGGAAGATATAACTAATAATACTTCCTGGCATGGAATTAGTCACTCTGGGAGCACTGGTGCTGTCGTAGTTTGCAAGTCCCTGCTTTGCTTCTTCTCATCCCACCTCCTCCTCACCCCTTTACATTGCCCCCATCCATCCCCATAATACTCAATTTCCTTTTCTTGCGCCTCTTTTATTTTTCTCTTCTCTCTTTTCCAACTTTATTTCAAAACATTGGCTCCCTTGTTGCCTTTGGCCATCTGTGATTTTCAGACAAAAATATCCAAGCAGGTAAAAGATCTCCCTCTCAGAGAGTGAAAAAAGTATTTTCTTCCCTCTGTTTTTCCTCTGCATCTATCTTTTTCTCTTTCTCTGGGCATGGCTCCCCAGGCAGTGGGGTCCCTCTGGGCTCCTGGTGTGATCTGTGGGTGTTTAGCTGTTAATCTGTCAGACTAATTCTATGGACAAACACTGCCGCGATGTATAATTCCCAGTTCGTGAGGAGGAAGGACGTGGGGGCCACAGGGCAGCCTGGAGACTGATGAGCCACACCAGCATAATTAAGGCCAGCTCCTCCCTCGGGACGAGCCTGCCTGTCCTTCTCCTCCTTTTTCTATCTTCCTGTCTATCTATCTATATACACTGTCCATCTATCAGTGCTCTCGCTCTTCTCCTCCTTATCTTCCCTTTGCATTATATTGTGTCTCCGGTGGCAGTGGGATGAAAAATATTGCATTCTTTTCACCGTTGCTTACATTGCAAATAACAGGAGGGGGCGTGACTAGAGATTTATAAGCAGGAGGAAAGTGCATCGGTGTTTGTGTGAGATGTCTGAAATTCATCAAGGTATTAAAGGCTATTTATTGCTCCCCCACTCACCACTAAACTAATTGCATGTTTAATTGTTTTTGCTTTTTTAACTTTCACATGATTGAGATTTTCTGCGGCACCCCGATCTGGTTAATGCCACTTCTTTCCACTTAATGGCAGTCAATTCCCCATTTAATTTTCAGCCGGTTAAGAATTTGCTCCAAGTGAGGCGGAGGTGGAAACTAAATAACTACAACTAT